ATAATACACAGGGGATAACTTCAGTTCCTTTGCACTTACCTAAATATGTTCTATGAGTGAGTATGTGGTCTATTTTGGAGAATGACCCATGTGCAGCTGAAAAGAATGTGTGTTCTGATTTTGTGGGGTGAAACACTCTGTAAACGTCTGTTAGGTTCATATCTTCAGTAGTTTGATTGAGTTCTAGTATTTCATTGCTTTTTGTCTAGTTGATCTATTTCTTTGTGACTGTGGGGTATTGAGGTCCCCCACTACAATTATATTAGTGCCTATATGGTTTTTCATGTCCATTAGTATTTGTTTTATATAGTTGAGTGTACTAGTGTTTGGTGCATAGATATTTATGATTGTCATCTCTTCCTGTTGGAGTGTTCCCTTTACAAGTATGTAGTGTCCTTCTTTGTCTCTCTTAATCTGTGTTGCTTTGAAATCCACTTCATCTGCAAAGAGGATAGCTACTCCTGCTTTTTGGGTCATTCCCGTCACATGGAGTATTGTTTTCCACCCTTAAACGTTCAGTTTATGAGTTTCTTTTTGACTTAAGTGCATTTCTTGCATGCAGCATATTGTTGGATCTTGCTTCTTGACATACAGATAAGCAAGGCATATAGGACTTGAACTAGCCTTGATCAAAAAAAATCTACACATAGGCATATAACTGTTAAGATTCCAGAAACCCAACAGAAGAACAAAATTCTACAAGTAGTTAGAGAAAAGAAACAAATCACAAACAAAGGAAAGCCCATCAGAATCACAGCAGACTTCTCAGTGCAAGTGCTCAAGGCAAGAAGAGCGTGGAGTGAGGTGTTTCAACCCCCAAAGGAAAACAACCTCCAACCCAAATTGATGTACCCTGCAAAACTGTCTTTCAAAATTGATGGAGAAATAAAGATACTCTCATGACAAAGAACACCTTAGGAACTTCATGAATACCAAAACAGCACTCAAAAAAATTTTAGATAAAATCCCAGGAAAAGACAATGAGGACCACAAGTCCAGGAAGCCCAGCAGAATGAATCTGCTGGGAACAACAAGAAATTAAAAGCAAAGGGCTCGGAGGATCAAAATAAAGAAAAAGTCATGACAATGATAACTCAGTATATATCAGTTATAACCATAAATGTCAGTGGTCTCAATTCACCAATCAAAAGAAATAGACTGGCAGAATGGGTCAAGAAGCCTCCTCCTGCCTGGGAACTGTGGCAAGTCGATGTGGAGGTCTCCTCTGGGCTCAGAGCCATGGCACACCTACCTGGAAGCTTCCGCTACACTGGGAGCCCCAGCACACCTACCTGGAAAGCCTCCTCCTGCCTGGGAGCTGTGCCGTGCTGATCTAGGAGCACATACTTTAAGGGTTCTGATGGGGTGGTGAGGATTATTGGCTTCAGTTAATCTAGTTTCTGCAGATGTCTTTGAATAGAAATTGTTATGCCTTTTATCTAGATGTTCCTCCAAAGCCTCATGTGGTCTTAGGTGGGGAGTTTCGAAGATGGCTGGATTAGCATGTGTCACGCTGAGATTAAAGATGTGATGCTGGGATTAAGAGTGTAATTCTGGGATTAAGGATGTCCCACTCTCAATGTGGGTCACACCACCTAAAAGACAGCCTGGAGTGGAATAAAGGAACAAAAGGAAGGTGGGCCTGCTGCTGTTGCTGTTGTTTACTGCTTACTGCCTTATGCCTGCCCTGACACATAATGGACAGTTTCTCCTCTGAGATGCCCCACTTCCATTCCACCCTGCCTCAGAACCAGCCAACTATGGATTGAAACCTCTACAAATTGTGAACTACAATATACCTTTTCTCCTTTAATTTTGGGTGTCTGGTATTTTGTCTCAGCAACAAGAAGCATAACAGACACTATTATTCCAGGATCAATGTGTATTAAGGGCGAGGATATTCATGGGAAGAGTAAGGAAAATGAGGAGAACAACAACAAGAGCAAAAGCTGGGCAAAGAAGAATTTTTGAGGAGACAAGAATTCTCCTTGGTGGCTGGTGCCTCCAAGAGAAAAGTCACTAGGAGACAAAATGTGCAAGTGAAGATCATCAGTGGCCTTGAATATCATGCCAAGAATTCTGTAGGAATTTTCTTTTGGAATTGCTTTTTACATCTAGTCTTTAAGTCAATTTTGTAGCCATTGTTGATTGCTCTCACACGTGGCTTCACTTGTCCACTGTTTAGCCCTTTCATGGACAGTTCTTTTAATATATGAGTATATTTGCATAAAAGTGAATATAGGTTATCTATTGATACTTGTGGGAAACATAGTGTATAACCTAAGTTGAGCAGTATCAAATTACCAGTGTATCATGACTATCCTTGGTTTAAGTCCTACTAATGTTACCTTTTGAAAAGAATCACGTATCAGAATTGCAATGTCAGCACTGTTAAATAGTACAATTTAGTAAGAGTTCTTGCCATGATCTCCTCTTTTGAGAATCCATCTTACTTTTATGGCCCTGATTTCTACTACATTCTGTAGTATCAATTGAGGTGTTCACTTGGAAGGTGAGAACTTACTTCTCTGATGTAGGTTAGTGAAATGAATAGAACAAGATGAGGCAGAGGCTATGTTAACAGATATGGAATTAAAATATAGGTAACAGATATGGTTAAATCTTCATGCTGATGCTTCCTGGCTATGTAACTTTGGGACTTCAAGGATTTATTTCTTCATCTGGAAAATGAGAGCCATTCATCCCAATAATTTATACAGTTATTGTGAGGATAAAATGAATTTGTTTAAGTGACTGTACTTTGTATACTGTTAAGCCCAGTGTAGGGTTTGATGCTGCTGTTCTCCAAGCTGAGTAAGGAAAGCATTATGTACAGTAGCATAATACTGATCATCTTTCTGTCTTTGTCCTTCTAGCCTTCAAGCAATGACAATGAAATAAATGGGAGCAACATTATTAGCCCAGAAAACAGCTTAAACCAGATTATTGCTGAACTCAATCCAAATATCCCACAGTCCTTCCATGAGGAATATGCACTGGGCCAAGGTCCTTACTCCCATATCAACCAGATTTTGAAGGAGGCTCACTTCTACAGCCTACAACAACGCAGACAACCTGCAACATGATGTAGTAGGAGCTCCTCATTCTGACCTAAACCTTGAATATGAGAGCAATCAAGGACACACACACAAAAGTCTGTTGGCTCTGTTCTCTGTATTATAAATAATAGGTTGATTGGCAATTGTTGATTTGGAATTTCACTGCACTGGTGTAATTTCAAAGGGGCTTTGAAGAAATTTTTGTAGGATTCTTTTAAGTTGGGTGTGAACTTCATGATAAGATACTGTTATGAGAAATTCTCACCAGTACATTTAATCCATAGTATGTCCAATTCATATTTGTCTCCAAATCATCAGTTAGAATCTCTACTTCAAAATGGTTTTTTCCCATTAAGTTTATTGATACATTTAAGATATAAAATACAGTTACTTTCATCATTGGGATCTTGTACCTTTACATGATGTATCTTGGTTCTTATTTTTT